GAATTATTAAATTTGAAAGAAATAAATTTTTAATTCCTATTTTACCAAATTTTAATTGTCTGATAGCGTTCGGGTGAGGGTGCTACTGCTTAAAAATTGAAATAAAATTCTCTACTCTTTAGGATTGAGTAAGGCTCAGTCCCTACTAGAATTCTGGTGATTTTCAGATGCTTTGAATTATTAAATGTGAAAGAAATAAATTTTTAATTCCTATTTTACCAAATTTTAATTGTCTGATAGCGTTCGGGTGAGGGTGCTACTGCTTAAAAATTGAAATAAAATTCTTTACTCTTCAGGATTGAGTAAGGCTCAGTCCCTACTAGAATTCTGGTGATTTTCAGATGCTTTGAATTATTAAATTTGAAAGAAATAAATTTTTAATTCCTATTTTACCAAATTTTAATTGTCTGATAGCGTTCGGGTGAGGGTGCTACTGCTTAAAAATTGAAATAAAATTCTCTACTCTTCAACACTGAGTAGGGCTCAGTCCCTACTAGAATTCTGGTGATTTTCAGATGCTTTGAATTATTAAATTTGAAAGAAATAAATTTTTAATTCCTATTTTACCAAATTTTAATTGTCTGATAGCGTACGGGTGGACCTGCTACAACTTAAAAATTGAAATAAAATTCTCTACTCTTCAACATTGAGTAGGGCTCAGTCCCTACTAAAATTCTGGTGATTTTCCGATGCTTTGAATTATTAAATTTGAAAGAAATAAATTTTTAATTCCTATTTTACCAAATTTTAATTGTCTGATAGCGTTCGGGTGAGGGTGCTACTGCTTAAAAATTGAAATAAAATTCTCTACTCTTCAGGATTGAGTAAGGCTCAGTCCCTACTAGAATTCTGGTGATTTTCAGATGCTTTGAATTATTAAATTTGAAAGAAATAAATTTTTAATTCCTATTTTACCAAATTTTAATTGTCTGATAGCGTTCGGGTGAGGGTGCTACTGCTTAAAAATTGAAATAAAATTCTCTACTCTTCAGGATTGAGTAAGGCTCAGTCCCTACTAGAATTCTGGTGATTTTCAGATGCTTTGAATTGTTAAATTTGGAAGAAATAAATTTTAAATTCCCATTTTACCAAATTTCAATTGTCTGATAGCGTACGGGTGGACCTGCTACAACTTAAAAATTAAAATAAAATTCTCTACTCTTCAACATTGAGTAGGGCTCAGTCCCTACTAGAATTCTGGTGATTTTCAGATGCTTTGAATTATTAAATGTGAAAGAAATAAATTTTTAATTCCTATTTTACCAAATTTTAATTGTCTGATAGCGTTCGGGTGAGGGTGCTACTGCTTAAAAATTGAAATAAAATTCTTTACTCTTCAGGATTGAGTAAGGCTCAGTCCCTACTAGAATTCTGGTGATTTTCAGATGCTTTGAATTATTAAATTTAAAAGAAATAAATTTTTAATTCCTATTTTACCAAATTTTAATTGTCTGATAGCGTTCGGGTGAGGGTGCTACTACTTAAAAATTGAAATAAAATTCTCTACTCTTCAGGATTAAGTAAGGCTCAGTCCCTACTAGAATTCTGGTGATTTTCAGATGCTTTGAATTATTAAATTTGAAAGAAATAAATTTTTAATTCCTATTTTACCAAATTTTAATTGTCTGATAGCGTTCGGGTGAGGGTGCTACTGCTTAAAAATTGAAATAAAATTCTCTACTCTTCAGGATTGAGTAAGGCTCAGTCCCTACTAGAATTCTGGTGATTTTCAGATGCTTTGAATTATTAAATTTGAAAGAAATAAATTTTTAATTCCTATTTTACCAAATTTTAATTGTCTGATAGCGTACGGGTGGACCTGCTACAACTTAAAAATTGAAATAAAATTCTCTACTCTTCAACATTGAGTAGGGCTCAGTCCCTACTAAAATTCTGGTGATTTTCCGATGCTTTGAATTATTAAATTTGAAAGAAATAAATTTTTAATTCCTATTTTACCAAATTTTAATTGTCTGATAGCGTTCGGGTGAGGGTGCTACTGCTTAAAAATTGAAATAAAATTCTCTACTCTTCAGGATTGAGTAAGGCACAGTCCCTACTAGAATTCTGGTGATTTTCAGATGCTTTGAATTATTAAATTTGAAAGAAATAAATTTTTAATTCCTATTTTACCAAATTTTAATTGTCTGATAGCGTACGGGTGGACCTGCTACAACTTAAAAATTGAAATAAAATTCTCTACTCTTCAACATTGAGTAGGGCTCAGTCCCTACTAAAATTCTGGTGATTTTCCGATGCTTTGAATTATTAAATTTGAAAGAAATAAATTTTTAATTCCTATTTTACCAAATTTTAATTGTCTGATAGCGTTCGGGTGAGGGTGCTACTGCTTAAAAATTGAAATAAAATTCTCTACTCTTCAGGATTGAGTAAGGCTCAGTCCCTACTAGAATTCTGGTGCTTTTCAGATGCTTTGAATTATTAAATTTGAAAGAAATAAATTTTTAATTCCTATTTTACCAAATTTTAATTGTCTGATAGCGTTCGGGTGAGGGTGCTACTGCTTAAAAATTGAAATAAAATTCTCTACTCTTCAGGATTGAGTAAGGCTCAGTCCCTACTAGAATTCTGGTGATTTTCAGATGCTTTGAATTATTAAATTTGAAAGAAATAAATTTTTAATTCCTATTTTACCAAATTTTAATTGTCTGATAGCGTTCGGGTGAGGGTGCTACTGCTTAAAAATTGAAATAAAATTCTCTACTCTTCAGGATTGAGTAAGGCTCAGTCCCTACTAGAATTCTGGTGATTTTCAGATGCTTTGAATTATTAAATTTGAAAGAAATAAATTTTTAATTCCTATTTTACCAAATTTTAATTGTCTGATAGCGTACGGGTGGACCTGCTACAACTTAAAAATTAAAATAAAATTCTCCATTCTTCAAGATTGAGTAGGGCTCAGTCCCTACTAGAATTCTGGTGATTTTCAGATGCTCTGAATTATTAAATTTGGAAGAAATAAATTTTAAATTCCCATTTTACCAAATTTCAATTGTCTGATAGCGTACGGGTGGACCTGCTACAACTTAAAAATTGAAATAAAATTCTCTACTCTTCAACACTGAGTAGGGCTCAGTCCCTACTAAAATTCTGGTGATTTTCAGATGCTTTGAATTATTAAATTTGGAAGAAATAAATTTTAAATTCCCATTTTACCAAATTTCAATTGTCTGATAGCGTACGGGTAAACCTGCTACAACTTAAAAATTGAAATAAAATTCTCTACTCTTCAACATTGAGTAGGGCTCAGTCCCTACTAGAATTCTGGTGATTTTCAGATGCTTTGAATTATTAAATTTGAAAGAAATAAATTTTTAATTCCTATTTTACCAAATTTTAATTGTCTGATAGCGTTCGGGTGAGGGTGCTACTGCTTAAAAATTGAAATAAAATTCTCTACTCTTCAGGATTGAGTAAGGCTCAGTCCCTACTAGAATTCTGGTGCTTTTCAGATGCTTTGAATTATTAAATTTGAAAGAAATAAATTTTTAATTCCTATTTTACCAAATTTTAATTGTCTGATAGCGTTCGGGTGAGGGTGCTACTGCTTAAAAATTGAAATAAAATTCTCTACTCTTCAGGATTGAGTAAGGCTCAGTCCCTACTAGAATTCTGGTGATTTTCAGATGCTTTGAATTATTAAATTTGAAAGAAATAAATTTTTAATTCCTATTTTACCAAATTTTAATTGTCTGATAGCGTACGGGTGGACCTGCTACAACTTAAAAATTGAAATAAAATTCTCTACTCTTCAACACTGAGTAGGGCTCAGTCCCTACTAAAATTCTGGTGATTTTCAGATGCTTTGAATTATTAAATTTGAAAGAAATAAATTTTTAATTCCTATTTTACCAAATTTTAATTGTCTGATAGCGTTCGGGTGAGGGTGCTACTGCTTAAAAATTGAAATAAAATTCTCTACTCTTCAGGATTGAGTAAGGCTCAGTCCCTACTAGAATTCTGGTGATTTTCAGATGCTTTGAATTATTAAATTTGAAAGAAATAAATTTTTAATTCCTATTTTACCAAATTTTAATTGTCTGATAGCGTTCGGGTGAGGGTGCTACTGCTTAAAAATTGAAATAAAATTCTCTATTCTTCAAGATTGAGTAGAACTCAGTTCCTACTAAAACTCTGGTAATTTTCAGATGATTAGAATTATTAAATTTGGAAGAAATAAATTTTTAATTTTTTTTTATTAAATTTTGATTGTCTGATAGCGTTGGGTTAATGAGGGTGCTACTACTTAAAAGGTAAAATAAAATTATTTATTTTTTAAGGAATGTGCAGTGCTAAGTCCCCATTAGAACTCAGGTAATTGTCAGAAATAGGAAAAATTGAAGTTTTTGTGATATTTTCATATTTTGTGTTCCAAACAAACAAGAAAAACACAAAAATTCAGAATTTTCTTATAAATTGTAAGAATTTAATTTTGTCTAGTACTTTAAGTAAAAATCCCTGACTTTTTCCTGAATTCCCTGACTAGTGGCAACTCTGAATATTTGTTAATTAAAAAATTTTTGGGGTTAGTCTTCTATTGTTTTTTTCGAATATTGTATACCATTTTATCAATAACATAAGAAATAAAATTTTATAAATTTACCACAAACCTTTGAAAACTGTATTCTAACCTGTATATTTGTCGATGTCCAAACAGCAATCCAAGACATCTTTGCAGTCCGTCCAGCGATGACATTTTCCAAAAAACACACGCGAGTAAAAAAAGCGAACACTCCCGAAAAAAGTTGACTATTGACTCCAAAATAAATTTAATTAATAATTAAATAAGATTAAAAATAAAAAAGAATACCACTTTTAATTACTTAATCGATCGCGATTTAAAGAAATTACGACACTCCCGGAAAAAGAATTGACTTTTGACTCCGAAAAGAAAAATTAACAATGAAAATTATCGGATCGAGAAATAAAAATTTTTGATACATTCCAAATAGATTCTCAATTGAAATCATGTCGAATAAAAGAAATATTTTTGAGGCAACGGATTCGATCGTAACTATTGATGGGGATTTACGATTCTCTTTGTGTAATGTTCGACAATGAACAAAGCAATTGTCCTTTGTATCTCCATGAAAAAATGGCGGACGAATGACAGCTAAAACAGAAAAATTACGAAGTTAGTTCTTCTCTTGAACATACACAAATAGGTTTAAAATTATGATTATAATTTGCAATTACAAAAGGAGAAATCTTCGATTCCACTTTCCAAGATGGCTGCCAATGTTTGTGAATATTTACACAGCCACGTTTGTTGCGTATTTCCAATGCTTCTGGAAGAAAAATTTTCATAAAATCCTTGTTAAAAAGAAAAGTACATTATTAAAATTAATTTAACTGCAATTTCTTGTTCCTAATTTCCAGGAATTATGAACTTAGTTCTTAACCTCAAAATTGTTCACGTGTTAAAATGTCGATTAAAAGAAAGAATAAAAGTTGATTAGTTAAATATTGTCGAGAATGTTTTACTTACATTAAAATGACCAATTGTCGAATGTATTTGTCGGCAGATTCGTGAAAATCCTGCTTGGAATGCAGATATTGATGATAAATTCCACAGAGGAACAAAATGTCTGCTTGGCCACACGCTGATTACTAAAAAATTATGATTTTGTCATTTCATTACAGGGAGAAATCTCCGATTCCATTTTCCAAGATGGCTGCCAATGTTAAGAATATTTACGCAGTCACACAATTATTCAGAATTTACAACAATCCTGAAAGAAAAATTCCCAATAAATTCTTGACGAAAAGAAAAGTTCAATACTGAAAATCATTTGCTTGCGGATTTGAGACTTTCAAATATAACCTCAAAATAATTCACATGGAAATCCATCGATTAGAATGAAACATAAATATTAATAAATAATAGAAACTTTGTCAGGAATTTTTTATACTCACATTGAAACGTCCAATTGTTGAATATTATTGTCGTCTGTAGCCGCTTGGAATGCAGATACTGATGTTAAATTCCGCAAGGGAGCAAAATGTCTAGTCACAAGCAGATTACTCCAAAATTTTGATGTGAAAATTTTCAATACGACTTTTCAAGATGGCTGACAATGTATGTAAATATTTTCGCCTTTACGATTGTTGAGAATTTCCAACACTCCTGAAACAGAAACTTTCATTATCTCTCTTGACAAAGCGGAAAGTTCGATACCGAAAGTAAACTGCGAAAAAAAGAATTTCCAGTAACCTCAAAATTATTGGAAAAATATTGACTGAAAGAAATAAAAAATTAATTAGTAATGCAATGGGGATTTTTTCACTTACATATGATCGACAATTGTTGACTGTAATTTTCGTTTGTAGCTCCGTAATAATAAGACTTGGAATGCAGATGTTGATGATAAATTCCGCAAAGAAACAAAGTGTCCGCTTTATCACACTCACATTGTTCAATTATTAGGATTTTAATATTTAATTGCACAGAGAATTCTTTGTTTTGACCGTTACGACTAAACAATTTGGTGGGAAAACTATACTAATTGTTTCTCACAGTGGGGGGTGAACAGGAAACACATATGATAAGACTTGTTCCTTTTTCCATTAGATAAAAGTCGGCCGGAAGTCGAATTCCGCCACTGGCGGCGCTGGCGGTTCGCTGGCCCAACATCGTTTATTCACACGTGTTAACTGCTAAAATAATGCAAAAATCATTAATTTTATTATTTCTTTTGGTCAAATCATGTTTATTCATGTGTAATATTCACCTAGTATCTAAATATGTACGATTAATAATACAATTCACTTTAAAAAACAATTTATTTTATTCACGAATGAAAATTGCTTAATTATTTTCCGCGGGAAATTCAAAATCAATAATCGTGAATTACTGCAATATCAAATTTATTTTTAATAATAAATAGAGTAAATGCAAATATTAATGTCTATAAATTTAAAATTCAGTAATTTAAATCAATAAGTAAATAGAATTATATGTAGCGTTAATATTTATTTACGTATTTCCTCATAAAATGAAAAAAAAAATTAGTTTTTTAGTTTAATATTGATAATAATTAAAGGGTAATTTACTCAGATTCAACAAGGGTTCTGGTGGCAAGTGAACTAACTAAGAATTCCATTAGTAGGAAACGAACGAAAATATCTTAATCCTTTTCTTACTAATGAAAGTTCCTAGTTAGTCCTCTTGCCACCAGGGCCCACGCCGAATATAGGTAAAGTATAAACATATTAATTAAATTTAATTGTTGTATTTAAAAAAGTAGTATTAAGGGGCATCAATATAGTATAAAACACTTTTTTTCCATTTTTGTCACCCCCTCTCACCCGACAAGCACTATTACATACATTAGCGCCATTTTTTCTACTGAGTTTAACAAGTAAATCCCCTATTTGCAGTGTGACCGTGTGACGCGATATGTGGATGACCCTTTAATATTATTAGAAATAAATAAACATTGAAGAAAATTAAATTAAATATATATTGTTAAATAACAATAGAACATAACAAAATTTTTTTAAAAATTAAAATTATTAATTAATTATTAAACTATAATGACATTGACTAATATTAAAATTTTAAACTATAAACTATAAACAAATAACTTATTTATTTATTTAGTAAATATTAACTTTAATTCGTAAATTTAATTAATACTTATTAATTATAATTAATTTTAATTAATATTAACATTTTAAATTATAAACTATAAACAAATAAGTTATATATTTAAAATATTTATTATTAATTATTTACAGTTAATTCAAGTAAACAAATAAATATTTATTTACTCAGTGAATATTAACTTAAAGTTAAAAATTTAATTAATATTTATTAATTTTAATTAATTTAATTAGTATTAATAATTATTTTTAAAAACCATAAATTGAATAATTTTATTTATAATTTTATTGAATTGTTTCATTATTCCCATTTTGCTCTATTTGAATTTCCCGCGGAAAATAGTGCAACTTTTTAATGTTAATGAAAAAAATAGTTTTTTAAAGTGAATTATATTATAAAAGGTAAATATTAAGTTACTAGGCAAATATTACGCATGAATAAACATGATTTGACCAAAAGAAATAATAAAATTAATGATTTTTGCATTATTTTGGCAGTTCACACGTGGCTGCAAATGCTGTTGGGCCAGCGAACCGCCAGCGCCGCCAGTGGCGGAAATCAACTTCCGATCAATATTTATCTAATGGAGAAAGGAACAAGTGTTATCATGTGTGTTTCCTGTCCACCCCCCACTGAGAGAAACAATTAGTAAAGTTTTCCCTCCAAATTGTTTAGTCGTAACGGTCAAAACAAAGAATTCTCTGTGCAATTAAATAATAAAAGCATAATAATTGAACAATGTGAGTGTGACAAAGCGGATATTTTATTTCTTTGCCGAATTTATCATCAACATCTGCATTCCAAGTCTTATTATTACGGAGCTGCAAACGAAAATCAAAGTCAACAATTGTGGATCATATGTAAGTGAGAAAATCCCCATTGCATTACTAATTAATTTTTTATTTCTTTTAGTCGATATTTTTCCAATAATTTTGAGATTACTCGAAATTCTTTTTTTCGCAGTCAAATACCTTTCGGTATCGAACTTTCCGCTTTGTCAAGAGAGATAATGAAAGTTTCTGTTTCAGGAGTGTTGAAAATTCTCAACAATCGTGACGGCGAAAATATTTACATACATCGGCAGCCATTTTGGAAAGTGGAATCGAAGATTTCCACATGCAATCGAACAATTTTATCATTATTTTGGAGTAATCTGCGTGTGGTCAAGCAGACATTTTGTTCCGCTGCAGAATTTAACATCAGTATCTTGATTCCAAGCGACTACAGACGAGAATAATATTCAACAATTGGACATTTCAATGTGAGTATAAAAATTCCTGACAACGTTTCAATTTTTCATTAATATTTTTGTTTCATTCTAATGGATGAATTTCCTTGTGAATTATTTTGAGGTTATACTGGAAATTCTCTAATTCGCAATCAATTACTTTTCAGTATTGAACTTTTCTTTTCGTCAAGAATTTAATGGAAATTTTTCTTTCAGGAGTGTTGTAAATTCTCAACAATCGTCACTGCGTAAATATTCATAAAAATTGGCAGCCATCTTGAAAAATGGAATCGGAGATTTCTCCCTGCAATGAAATGATAAAATTATAATTTTTGAGTAGTCTGCGTGTCGCTAAGAAGACATTTTGTTCCTCTGCGGAATTTATCATCAATATCTGCATTCCAAGCGGGATTTTCACGAATCTACAGACAAGAACATTCAACAATTGGCCATTTTAATGTAAGTAAAACATTCCCGACAATATTTTACTAATCAACTTTTATTCTTTCTTTTAATCGACATTTTAATAGTTGAACAATTTTGAGGTTATGAACTAAGTTCATAATTCACGGAAATTAGGAACAAGAAATTGCAAATTATAATCATAATTTTAAACCTATTTGTATATGTTTAAGAACAGCTCTAATTTCGTAATTTTTCTGTTTTAGCTGTCATTCGTCCGCCATTTTTTCATGGAGATACAAAGGACAATTGCTTTGTTCATTGTCGAACATTAGACAAAGAGAATCGTAAATCCCCAAGAATAGTTACAATCGAATCCGTGGCCTCAAAAATATTTCTTCTATTCGACGTTATTTCAAGTGAGAATATCTTTGAGATGTGTTGAAAATTTTTATTTCTCGATCCAATAATTTTCATTGTTAATTTTTCTTTTTGGAGTCAAAAGTCAATTCTTTTTCCGGGAGTGTCGTAATTTCTTTAAATCGCGATCGATTAAGTAATTAAAAGTGGTATTCTTTTTTATTTTAAATCTTATTTGATTATTAATTCAATTTATTTTGGAGTCAATAGTCAATTTTTTTTCGGGAGTGTTCGTGTTTTTTTTACTCGCATGTGTTTTTTGGAAAATGTCATCACTGGACGGACTGCAAAGATCTCTTGGATTGCTGCGCTGTTTGGACATCGACAATTATACAGGTTAGAATACAGTTCTTAAAGGTTTGTGGTATATTTAAAAAAATTTATTTTTTAAGTTATTGACAAAATGGTATAATATACAGTATTCGAAAAACAATAGAAAACTAACCTTGTAATTTTTTTTTTTTAATTAAAAAATATTCAGAGTTGTCACAGGTCAGGGAAAAAAATTTTATAACAATTCTCGTCAAAATTTCAATTATTTTTATAAATAATAAAATTCTTCTCCGAAATTCAATTATTTTCGAGCTTTCTTGGCAAAATTTCAATTTTTTCAAAAATTTTTCTCATTTCAATGATTTTTAATATCTAGTATTTTAACAAAATTTTCAAACAGAATTTAATTATTTTAAAAAAATTTTAATAAAATTCTACAAAAACCTTTAATTATTTTCATATAATAATACAAATTTTACAGAAATTCAAATATTTATATCTATAGTATTTTAATAAAATTTTTCAAAATAATTCAATTATTTAAATAATATTTTAATAAAATTCTTCCATAACTTTTAATTATATTCATAAATAATAAAAATTCTCCAGGAATTAAATTATTTACCAATTTTTTAGCAATGATTTCATTATTTTAATAAATAATAAAATTTTTTGAAGAGATTCAATTATTTTCATAAATAATAAAACTCATTGCAGAATTTTAATTATTTTGAAGACAATTTTAATAAAAAATTCCTCGAAAAAATGTAATTATTCTTAAAAATTTTATTAAAATTCGTCAAGAAAATTTAATTATTAAAAAATTTTTTGACAGATTTCTATATGAGAATTTAATTTTAAGAAACATTCAATTATTCAATAAATTATTAATTTTTCTAATTAAATACCTAATTAAATTATCTAAGAATTTTCTAAAAAAAATATTTAAAAATAAATTTTAGGTACTAATTAATATTAAAAGCATTAGAACGTGAATTTTCAAAAGGTTTCAAATTATAATCTTTGAAAATCTGAATTTTTTATACTATTAACTAACAATTCTGTGGAATTATTTTTTTTTTTTTTTAAAAAGTTTAATTGGGAATTTTTTTAAAAATTATTTGAAGTTTTTATTTTTTAATGTTCTATATTTAATTGAAGAATTTACAAATAACTGAAATTTTGTAAAATTGAATTGAAAACAAATGAATTTGAAAATTCTCAAAGAACTTTTTTTTTAGAAGAATTTTATTTAAAAACACGAAAAAAATTTAATTTTGCAAAAGTTACAAATATTATTGCATAAATTCAATTATTTTCAAGAGTAATAATATTCTTCTGAAAAATTAAATATTGTTCAAAAATAATAAAATTTTCCTTAGGAATTCAATTATTTTCACAAATAATAAAACTCATTGCTGAATTTCAATTATTTTTAATAAAATTTTAATCGAATTCCTCGAAAAATGTAATTATTCTTAAAAATTTTATTTAAATTCGTCGAAGGAGTACAATTATTTAAAAATTTGTTTAAAAATTCTTTACGGAAATTAAATTTTAAGAAACATTCAATTGTTCAATAAATTGTTTATTTCTGTATTTAAATAATTGAATTCTAATAGAATTTTCTATAATAAAAATGGATTTAAAAAATGAATTTCTGTTAAAATTTTAGATAATAATTGAATATTAAAAGCAATATAGCGTGCATTTTTAAAAATAATTGAATTTTGAAATTAATTTTTTTGAAAAAAGTTTAATTGAATTTTTTAAATATTATTTTAAGTTTTTATTTTTTAATATATATTTAATTGAAGAATTTAAGAATAATTGAAATTTTGTAAAATTGAATATTGTAAACAAATAGATTTGAAAATTGTTAAAGAATTTTTTTTCGAAAATTATTAAAAATAATTGATTTAAAGAAGAATTTTTGTTAAAAATTCTTGAAAATAATAATTGAATTGATGATTTTATCACTCGGTCATTAATTATTATAAAACATGAAGAAATCATGACATGATATCTTCATGTTTTATAGTTATGAAAAATTTAATTTGTAGTTTTAAGTAAAATTTTCTTTTATTTGACTCGGACTGGTTATATTTTTGTCAGTAATTAGTCCGTAATTGTTCATTTTTAATCCATAAAGTCCGTATTTTTAAATACATTCACTGCTTCGAGCCCTGCCAATTTTTTTTCCAATTTTTTTTTTTTAATTGACAAATATTCTGACTGACAAAAATTTCAGATCAGATAAACAAAAAATTATACGTTCCATTAAATTTTTTTTTCGATATCAAATGAAAGAGTTAACATCATCAAATGTAGTTTTACCTCGGTGCTAAAATTAGCATACAGCGGATTAGTGCGTTCCAGGGTTTAAGTCGACGTGCATGGCGGCATGCCGATAAGACTTTATTAACGTCCACCAAGTGTATTTGTCCACATCCAGTCCCGTATACTTACCAGGATACAATCATGTGCAATTGAGCTTTTTAAACTTTTTCTCGTGAGCCATTCTATAGAACACCTACTATTTGCTTCTCGACTTTATAATTATGCTCAATTTTAAAGGAATGACAAAATTATTAGACGCAAATTTAACTCTCTTTTTTTATGATTCTTTTAAAACCCATTAGAAAAAAAAGAAATATATTTCACAATGTGAAAAAATTGTCCCCTTGAAGAGAAAGATTATCTACCTGAAATATTTAAATATTCTCAAGCAATGTCGTGAGAAAAAAAAAATTTTCTCTCTACTTCTCATTTACTGTCACCTGTAATATTTACAAGACAGTTGAGAGATTGAAAACTCAATATTTATTTTAATATTTCGATAATTTAAAAAGAATATTTTCAATTAATTCTATTAGTATTAAATTAAATATTTTGAAAGTAATAGAGTAATAAAATAATAAAAATTATATTTTTATATAATATTAATTAATTAATAATAGTGTTATAGAAAAATATAATTTTTATTTTTTAATTTTACCACTATTACTATTATTAATATTATTTTATTATTATTATTTTTATTACTATTCCGTGCAAAAATGAATTTTTACGTCCTCCTCTCAAAAAATAGTTATTTATGATACAAGTGCGTAAAATCGTTGATTATACGAGTGTGACGTTTGCAGCTCGAGCCGAAGGCGAGTGCTGCAAGTCACACAAGTATAATCTGATTTACGCACGAGTGCCATACAAAATTTTTTGCAACACTAAAACAACTAAACTTGCAGCAATATTGCCAATATTACTGTAACTTTAGTTGTAGTGGGGAACTGTTAAATGAAGTTTTCTAGAAGCTAAAATAAAAAAATGTGATTGTAAATTGTTAATTAAAAGCATTATTTCATTGTTTCTCATCAAACAGTCACAAGAATGCGTAAAGTAACCCTTTTACGCACTGAAAATCACTTTACACACTGGAATTCACTTTACACACTGCTAGCGGTGTGTAAAGTAACACTTTACATACCGCTATAAAAAGAAGTACTTTACACACAGTTTTCTGTGTGTAAAATTCAATTTTACAGGTTAGTGTTGCAAAAAAAAAATTATTACTCTATCATTATTAAATGATATTAAAATTGGAAATAACATAAAAATCAAAATTGACATAGAGAGACTCGGGGGAAGAATATAAAAATTGCAATATTGTATATAGTATAAAAGTGAAATTTAAAGATATATGAGAAATTTCCAGCACCGCGCAGAGTTTGAAATTTTTAAACAAGTTTCCTGTTTAATGTAAAATTTGTAATACGAAAAGTTTTGAAGCTAAGCACGCATAGAACATTTCTTAAATAAATAAAGCTGGTTATCCCTCGATGGGAAATGTTCTTTAATTCATAAAGTCATAAAATATGAAACGAATAAGTGAGAAACGCGTTATAGTCATGTTTCATTCTTTACAGTTTTTCAAAAGTAAATGTGTTTCTATTTGGTAAAAATTACTTCTTTTTCTTTCCGTTAAAAATTTAATTTCTCTCTCTCTCTCTCTCTCTCTCTCTCTCTCTCTCTCTCTCTCTCTTGGCTTTTTGATCACAAAATTATTTTTTTATAGTCTCATTAATTTTCCTATAAGGATTCTCTGGATGGAAATTGATTTTACTGAATAATACTTACTGTTTTTTCGGTCAATTTTATTTATTCTTTCTATCTTTCCACGTTGCTTCTATATGTGTCTTTTTTCTCCATCTTTCTATATTTTTACATCTTTTTCCCCTTGTATTTTTTTTTACTTTTTAATCTTTTTTCTCTTCCTATCTTTTTTCTATTTTTCTCCTTCTTTTTCTATCATTCTATTCTTTTTATTCAGTGTTGACACAGGTCAGGAAAATCAGGAAAAAGTCAGTAATTTTTAGTAAAAGAACAGAAATTAAGAACAGGAAAAGAACAGGAAAAAATTGAATTTTTGAAATTCATAAGAAAACTCTAAATTTTTGTGACTTTTTTATTTGCCTCATAAAATATAAAATTACTAATTTAATTATTTTTAAAAGTATAGTAAAATTCTTCGCATAAATTCAATTATGTTCAAAAATTTTTTTAAATTCTTGTCAAAATTTCAATTATCTTTATAAATAATAAAATTCTTCTTCGAAATTCAAATGCAATTTTGGAAAAATTCTTGGAAAAATTGCAATTATTTTTATAAATTTTCCTCAATTCAATTATTTTCAATATCTATTTTAATAAAATTTTTCAAAAGAATTCAATTGTTTAAATAATATTTTCATAATATTCTTCGCAAACATTGAATTATATTTATAAATAATAAAAATGCCACAGAAATTCAATTATTTACCAATTTTTTAGAAATAATTTCATTATTTTCATAAATAATAAAAATAATCGCAGAATTTAAATTATTTAAAAATTTTTAACACAATTTTAAACGAAATTCTCGAAAAATGTAATTATTCTTATAAATTTTATTAAAATTGGTCAATAAAATTCAATTATTAATAAAATTTTTGGTAAAATTCTATATATGAGAATTTAATATTAAGAAACATTCGATCATTCAATAAATTATTAATTTTTCTATTTAAATAATTGAATTATCATGGAATTTTCTAAAAAAAAATTGATTTAAAAATAAATTTTAGGTAATAAATAAATAATTATAATTATAATATATTTAATTGAAGAATTTCCGAATAATCGATTTATTATTTATGAAAATAATTGAATTTTTGCAACGAATTTTATTACATTTTTTTCAATAATCGAATTCTTTTGAGAAATTTTAATAAAATTGTAAAATTTGAAAATATTTGGAGATCGGAGAAGAATTTTATTATTTTTAAAGATAATTGAAATTTTGCCAAAAATTTTATTAAAATTGTATTTAAAATATTTGAAATCCTCTGAACAATTTTATTATTTTTGAAAATAATTGAATTATTGAAACGAATTTTTATTACATTGTTTTTAAATAATTGAAATCCTGTGAAAAATTTTACTATTTATAAAAATAATTGAATTCTTGCATCGAATTTTATTTATTTTTTTTTAAATAATTGTGTTCTTATGGAATTTTTTTTTAAAATAATAGACATTGGAAATCAATGAATTGAGGATAATTTTTTTTGGAAATAATTGAAATCTTGTCAAGAGTTTTATTAAAATTTTAGAAAATAATTGAATTTCAGAGAAGAATTTTATTATTTTTAAAGATAATTGAAATTTTACCAAGAATTTTATTAAAATTTTTGGAAATAATTGAATTTCGCAGAAGAATTTTTTTATTTTTAAAGATAAATGAAATTTTGCTAAAAATTTTATTAAAATTGTATTAAAATTTAAAAATAATTGAAATCCTCTGAACAATTTTATTGTTTATGAAAATAATTGAATTCTTGCAATGAACTTTATTATACTTTTTTAAATAATTAAATTCTTTTGAGAAATTTTATTAAAATAGTAGATTTTTGAAAATATTTGAATTTCAGCGAAGAATTTCATTATTTGTGAAAATTAATTGAATTTTTGTAAAAATTTTCCGATACATCTTGAGAATAATTACATTTTTCGTGAAATTTATTCAGAATTGCATTAAAAATAATTGAAGTACTGTGAAAAATTTTATTATTAATGAAAATAATTATATTCTTATAACGAATTTTATTACATTTTTTTAAATAATTGAAATCCTGTTAACAATTCTTTGGTTATAAAAATAATTGAATTCTTGCGAAGGATTTTATTAGAATTTTTGTAAATCTGTATTCTTATGGATAAATAAAATATTATTAAAATAATATATTATCATTATTATAATTATTTATTATAATGATTAAATATTTATTTAGAAAAGAAGTTATTGATATTTTCGATTAAAGATATTAAAGATATTTTCAATTAAAAAATTTTTAAATAAATTAATAGAAAATTTTTTTGAGTTTCTAATAATTTTTAGAGTGAATTAGAATATTATTTAGGATCAGGGAAAAAATGAAAATTTTGTCTGAAAATCAGGGAAAAGTCAGGGAAAAACAAGATAATTAAATTTTTGTAAAAACTGTGTTATTCTTTCTATTTTTTCTCTTTTGCTTTTTGAATACTTTGGAAAAATTGTTTTCTAAAATTCTGGTTTATTTTTTAGGGCAAAAAAAATTTTTTTTTGGATATGAAGGATGTATATTGTGATCGATCGTATAATTGGTTTGTCGACGTAGAGTACTTTTTTTTCCTCCTCGGGAAATGAAAATGGTAATCTCCGATTGCGATTCTAGTTTTCATACGACTTGCCGTTGAGGCAATCGTGTGAAATTTATAAACCGAGTGGTTCACTGTATGTACGATATTGGCATAGGACATGTAATTGGTTGCTTAAATACTGCCTGGCATCTGCTTCGAACGGCAATGGTTATTCCTGCATTTGCCGATTTCAATTTATATCTATCTCTATATATTGCAAATAGTTTCCACCGAATTCCAAATTCACATTGTTCCGAAATTCAACCAAAAATTCTTTTCCAAAATTTCTCAGTAGTTTATTACAACAATTCGAAATTTCAATTCCGTAATTCTTCTATTTCCACTGATTTTTCTTCCACTGAATTTTCTTCTACTGAAATTTTTTCTACACCTTTGAATTTCTTTGCCGAAAAATTAAATAATAATTTATCATTCGAAATTCGTTTATCGCATTTAATAATTTGGCACAATTTCAGGCGTGAGGAGAGAGGGAGAGGGTTTCGAGGGCGCTTGCAAAACATATAAAGGATAATTCATCTACTTGTGTTATCAGAAAATCCAAAAACAATTAAGTGTGGGAATTTGTCCCCCGTGTGGAAGTTTGTGGAAAAATAAGGATAAAACTGCGCCTCCAGTGCCGGAACGCGATAATGGAGTTTCCATTGAGTTTATAGCGGGTTTAAATAGTGGTCTGGCACGCTAGATGGCTCAGGAGAAGAAGCACTTTAGAGAAAAGGTTTTGAGCCCGGGAATTTAATAATTCCGCCGACGAAAATACGTAATACTAATTTAAAAGAGGTATTTGGTGTTAGACAAGGCTATCGCTTTATTCCCTTTCCATTAAATCTAAAGAAGACAAAAAAAGGAATATTTATCTAAATCCCCCTCCCTAGAGAACGAGAGCACAACTTTAACTAAATCCAAAATTAATCCCCCTCTGAAAATTCAATTTATTTCTTTTCTAATTATTCTAATTTATTCAAATTTTCTTTCTATCGAAAAGAAATTCTATTGAAAGAAATTTAAAATACTTTTAAAAAATACTTTCAAAAAACACTTTTAAAAAATACTTTTAAAAAATACTTTTAAAAAATACTTTAAAAAAATACTTTACTCTAAAATCTAAATGTTCAGAAAGTACAAATACAAAATAAAAATTTACAAACTACTTTTTATTGAAGATAATGAAAAAAATTACTGTTTCTTGATAAATTTTCTCTTAAAGTACAAAATAATAAAATTGTTTTTACACTGAATCATCCGTGAGCGATGAAGCAAAAAAAGACAACAAACTTTTGGAGAAATAATTCCCAGCCTCATTTTTTTTTCTTGTTTGGATGACAGGAATCGATGGAAGAAAAAAATTAAGTTGTCACCATCGTCCGCAGTTTTTTTAGTTTTTAAAAATTATTTTATATTTCTTAAATATCAATAGGAGGGGAAATTTGTTTCTTAGACTATTTTCTTCTTCAAGTAAGCCTTCTTGTAAAAATCCCAAAAATTGTAGAAAATGATGAGAACATGAAACATGTACAGACATGCCAATGGCTTTCGTCGTGGCTCACATGACGGCATCAAAGCCTGTGTTGTGTGAATTATTATTATTACAAACTGCATCTGAAATTGAAAAAAAAGAGAAAATTGTTAATATTTTTCGAAATTGGGTTCGAATTTTTATATTAATTTATATATAATTATTATTATTATTATTATTTATAATTATTATATTTATATATTTATATATTTATAATTATTATTTATATATAATTTATATATTAATTTATATTAATTTTTTCTCATTTTTCTTTTGTACAAGGTTGCTACAGGTCAGGGAATTCAGGGAAAAGTCAGGGAAAGTGGAATTGGTTAGGCAAATTAGGGAAAAGGCAGGGATTTTTATTATAGTACTGGAAAAAATTAAATTTTTAGAATACATAAGAAAATTCTTGAAATTTTGATTAAAATTCTTTAAAAAAAATTAAATTATTTAAAAATTTGTTAATAAAATTCTTTATTAGCATTAAATTTTGAGAAATATTAATTTAAATAATTGAGTTCTCGTGAAAATTTTCTTATATAAAAATTAAATTAAAAATTAATTTCAGTTAAAATTTTAGATAGTTATTGAATATTAAATGCATTTATAACATGAATTTTTAGAAATAATTGAATTCTTGCAACAAATTTTTATTACATTTTTTTAAAATAATTGAAATCCTGTGAAGAATTTTACTATTTATGAAAATAATTGAATTCTTGCATCGATTTTTATTAAATTTTTTTTTAAATAATGAAATTCTTTTGGAAATTTTCATCAAAACTACAGTAGATATTGAAAATCATTAAATTAAGGAAAATTTTTGAAAATAATTGAAATTTTGCCAAAGCTTTTATTAAAATTTTAGAAAATAATTGAATTTTGTAGAATTTAATTATTTTTAAAGATAATTGAAATTTTACCGAGAATTTGATTAAAATCTTTGAAAATAATTGAATTTCGAAGAAGAATTTTATTATTTTTAAAGATAATTGAAATTTTACTAAGAATTTTATTAAAATTTTTGAAAATAATTGAATGTCGGAGAAGAATTTTATTATTTTTAAAGATAATTGAAAATTTGCCAAAAATTTTATTAAAATTGTATTAAAAATAATTAAAATCCTCTGAAGAATTTTATTAGTTAGGAAAATAATTGAATTCTTGCATCGAGTTTTATTAAATTTTTTTTAAATAATTGAATTCTTCTGGAAATTTTTTTAAAAATAATAGACATTGGAAATCGTTAAAATGAGGAAAAATTTTGTAAATAATTTAAATTTTGCTAAGAGTTTTATTAAAATTTTAGAAAATAATTGAATTTCGGAGAAGAATTTTATTATTTTGAAAGATAATTGAAATTTTACCATAAGCATTTTATTAAAATTTTTGAAAATAATAGAATGTCGGAGAAGAATTTTATTATTTTTAAAGATAATTAAAAATTAGCCAAAAATTTTATTAAAATATTAAAAATAATTAAAATCCTCTGAAGAATTTCATTAGTTAGGAAAATAATTGAATTCTTGCATCGAATTTTATTAAATTTTTTTTAAATAATTGAATTCTTCTGGAAATTTTTTTAAAAATAATAGACATTGAAAATCGTTGAAATGAGGAAAAATTTTATAAATAATTTAAATTTTGCCAAGAGTTTTATTAAAATTTTAGAAAATAATTGAATTTCGGAGAAGAATTTTATTATTTTTAGCAAAAAAATAACAAATTATTTAGCAAATAATTTTATTATTTTTAAAGATAACTGAAATTTTGCCGAAAATTTTATTAAAATTGTATTAAAAATTTAAAAATAATTGAAATGCTTTGAAGAATTTTATTATTTTTAAAGATAATTGAAATTTTGCCAAAAACTTTATTAAAATTGTATTAAACATAATTGAAATCCTCTGAAGAATTTTATTATTTAGGAAAATAATTGAATTCTTGCAAATCATTTTTATTACATTTTTTTTTAATAATTGAAATCCTGTGAAGAAGTTTACTATTATTGAAAATAATTAAATTCATGCATCGGTTTTTATTCAATTTTTTTAAAATAATTGAATTTTTTTGGAAATTTCTATTAATTAATTAATTTTGAGAAGAATTTTACTACTTTTGAAAATAATTGAATTTCTGCCATAATTTATAACTTTTCTCCAAAATTCAATTTTTTTAATGTTTTTAACTAAAATTGATTTTTTATTAATTTTTTATTTGACAATTCTACAAGAATTCAATTATTTAAATACGAAAATAAATAATTTATTAAATAATTGAATTCTTTTAACGAATGTTAGAAAATTCGTAAATAATTGTAATAGAACATTTTTTTGAGTATTTAATCGTTTTTAGAGTGAATCAGAATATTCTTTAGGGTCAGGGAAAAAGTCAAAATTTTCTCTGGAAATCAGACAAAATAAATAAATAAATAAATCAGGGAAAAGCAAAATTAATTTTATGTTGCAACCCTCATTATACCTACAATTTTTCTTCTTTATAAATTTTGTCTTTATTCATTTTTTCTCTTTATTAAAAAAAATAAATAAATAAATAAAGATAAAAGGAGAGGAAAAGCTGGAAATTATTTTAATCTTTGACGTTTTGAAGAAAAAGAGAAGTGAAACATAATAAATATCCGAGACTTGTTAACTACATTTATTTCGCTGCTAATTTTCTTTATTAGTTCCTGTTTCTTTAGTCAGAGGTGCATTTAAGTCCACCCCTGTTTGAACTAATCGCAAGCAAGGCGTGATAAATCCCTATAGTAGTTAAAGTGTACGCGACCCTTTCTTTTTTTCCCTTTCATTTTCCCCCGCAGTCCATCTGCTGCTTTTCGTTTCGCTAACATTGTTGTAAATAAAGCACACTGCGTGTCATGAGTGCGAAAGAAGTCAGTTCGAACGATAAGGGAAAATTAGCATTTTCCTTGACTCTTACTCGCTGTATACAAGTAGTCTCGGTTAGCCTAGGTCACGCACTAATCTTCGATAACGTGCGACTCACCCTTCTTTCTTTCTTTCTTTTTCTTTTTTTTCCATTTTCACTTTTCAACCACTCAGTTCAAGTTAAAATTTATACAAACTCTCTAATAATTGCATGAGAAATATGCTCCTCGCTTATAAATAATTAGAATGAAAATTTAATTATGACTATTTTTCTCATTTAACATTTAATTTAAATTATGGAAAATGAAATGTTTCATATTCAATTAGGGATAATTTGCTAATTAGGACATTTGAATTATTATACTCTGAAAATAACTACGAAAATAACTGAGAAAATAAATGAAAAAATTGCAACTAGAATAAAATTAAATTATTTTTTAATGAAGTAAATTTTTTTTTGTAATCAAATAAATTTTTTTGAATTAAATAAATTTTCTTTGAATTAAATAAATGTTCTTTGAAACAATTAAATGATTTTTGAATCAAATAAATGTTCTTTAAAGCAATTAAATTATTTTTGAATCAAATAAATTGTTTTTGAATCAAATACATTTTTTTGTTATCAAATAATTTTTCGTTGTATCTAAGAAATTTTTCTTTAAATTAAAAAAATTTGTTCAATGATACAGAGTCAAAGAAATAATTTTTTAATTAAGAAGGAAATATTCTTTGACACAAATAAATAGTTTTTCTAAATCAAATACATTTTTTTTAATCAAATACTCTTTTTTGAAATCAAAAAAATGTTCATTGAAACAAATAAATTTTTTTTTGTAATCCAATAAATTTTCTTTAAAGCGAATAAATGTTCTTTGACAAAAATTGATTTTTTTTTACTTAAACAAATTATTTTCTAATCGAATGCATTTTTTTTAATCAAAGAAATTGTTGAATAAAATTAATTTTTTTTAATCGAATACATGTTTTTTTAATCAAATAAATTTTCATTGAATTACATAAATTTTCTTTGAATTAAATAAATTTTCTTTGAATTAAATAAGTGTTCTTTGAAACAATTAAATTATTTTTGAATCAAATAAACTGTTTTTAAATCAAATACATTCTTTTTAATCAAATAAATTTTTTTTGTATCTAAGAAATTTTTCTTTAAATTAAAGAAATTTTGTCAATGATACAGAGTCAAAGAAATAAATTTTTAATTAAGAAGGAAATGTTCTTTGAAACAAATAAATGGTTTTTCAAAATCAAATCCATTTTTTTGGAATCAAATGAATGTTCTTTGAAACAAATTAATTTTTTTTAATCAAAATTTATCAAAATTCATTCAAAATTTTAATTATCTTTAAAAATAATAAACTTCTTCTCCGAAATTCAATTATTTTCAAAATTTCAAATTAAAATCTTTAAAACCTTAATTTTTTTTCTCCTTTTAACTAACAATTCTGTAGAATTAATTTTTTTTAAAAGTTCAATTGCATTTTTTTTTAATTATTCAAAGTTTCTATTTTCTAAATAATTAATTAAAGAATATCCGAATAATAGAATTTTCGTAAAATTGAATTGTAAACAAAATGGATTTGAAAATTCTCAAGAAACTTTTGCAAAAATTACTAAAAATAATTGATTTCTTTTGAATAATTTTTATAAAATTTTCGAAAATAATTACATTTTTCGAAGAATTTACTGATAATTGTATTAAAAATAATTGAAATCCTGTGAAGAATGGTTTTTCTAAGTCAAATACATTTTTTTGGAATCAAATAAATGTTCTTTGAAACAAATTAATTTTTTTTTTTTTAATCAAATAAATTATTTTCGAATCGAATGCATTTTTTCGAATCAAATAAATTATTTTCGAACCGAATGTATGTTTTTAATCAAATAAATTGTTGTTGAAAAAAATAATTTTTTTTAATCAGATAAATTTTTTATCATATAAATTTTTTGACTACAAAATAAAGTTTTACAAAAATTAATTTTTACTGTATAAAATAAAGAAAAAGAAAAATTATTAACCAAAAATGAAAAATATTAACAAATGTTTAGGGAGAAAAATTTACTGGTGTGAAATAATTTTTCTATATCGCAAGAATTCAAAGACATTCTCGAGAGGATTTTTTTTTTCGTCTGAAAGCCACAAGGGTACGAGGTTTTTAGTATGTGGAAATATAACATTTTCTCATATAGTTAGAAAAAAAAATGTTTATATATTCGCAAATCACAATATTCAACAGAAAAAAAAAATCTTTTGACCATAAAGATGAAACAGCCTCGTTTTTTTTAATTAAATAATTCAACGACCAAGAATTTTTTTTTAATATTTTCTCTACGATATTGACGGAACGATTTATCGGATTACGCGCTCGTTTAATTTCAAGCTGGTGCTTTTGCCCTTTTTCACGTTTATATGTACATATATATACACAGACAAAAGACGCGACAGAGAAAATGGTTTTTGCCTGCGTGAAAAAGTTGAAAGAGAAATGCAAAAAACTAAAAAGATAATAAATAGCATTTATAGTATAAATTTTTTCTTTCATTTCAATTTTCAGTCATGGAATTTCATTTTTTAATTTTCGTAGTCAATTTATTCATTTTCGGTTTTGATAGTCACTTGGAGTTTCAATTTTAATATTTTCTAAGTTAAACATTTTTTTATTTCCGTTTTCATAGTCACGGAATTTTATTTTCAATTTTCCTATAGTCAAAAATGAAAAACTTGAAAAGTGGTCATTTTTCCCCCAACATTTTACACAGAAAAGTAGATTTTCGCTTTTCTTTGCTATTTTTTCTTTTTCTCTAAGGCAAATGATCAATTTTCGATAAAATATTTTTTTTGGGGAAACATTTTTTTTCTTTGGACATTATTTTATTTTCTTCTCAACTTTTTTTTTGTCAATTTTGACATTTCTTTGTTAGTTTGATATTAAATGAAGGGAAAAAATTAATTTTCGTTTATTGAATACAAACCATTTGTAGAATTGTTAAATATGGCTTGAATGGATTGAGTCGCTTTTGAATTCTCGGACCCAAAGCAGCGAGGAGGTAGTAGGTGTACATTATCACATGCACCAGACAATTAGGCATCATGACGAAGGTCCACATACCTCCTGTAATCAGTTGAATAATTTATATCAGTCTAATTGTAAATAATAAACTATGAATTTCTAGTCACAAACGTTTCCCTCAGAACACACTCGCATTAACAGAAAAAAATTTCTTCTAATTTTAATTTTCAGATGTAAAATATAGTTTTTAATTCATTAGTTAATTAATTGTTGATTAATTAAACAACTGAACTAGAAATTAAAATTTGAGGAAAATAATTATTTAATAAAACTGGAAATTTTAATAACCTACAGGAAATTAATAAATAATTAATTAATTAAAGTGAAAATTAAAATGAGAGGAAATTCATTGAAATATAATTAAACTACAAATTGAAGTCAGAGGAAACTAATAAATAATTAGTTGAATTAAAAATTGAAATTAGAGGAAAATAATTAATTAAATTAAAAATTGAAAATAGAAGAAATTAGTTAATCTAAAAAGTTGAAATTGGAGGAAATTAATTACATAAACTATAAATTGAAATCAGAGGAGTTTAATTAATAATTAAATAAATTAGAAATTGAAATTGGAGGAAATTAATTAAACTCGAAATCAAAATTGAAAGAAATGAATTAAATTAGAATTTAAAATAACAGAAAATTAATAAATCATTAAATAATTTAACTATAGAAATTCGAATTTGAGGAAATTAATTAATTAATCTAAAAATTTAAATTAGAGAAAATTAATTATAATAATTAATTAATTAAACTATAAATTTAAATTAGAGGAAAATAGTTAACAAATAGTTAATTAAACTAGAAATTGAAATGAGAGGAAATTAGTTAATAAGTAATTAATTTAACTAGAAATTGAATTTAGAGGAAATTAATCATAATAATTAATTAATTCAACTAGAAATTGAAGTTAGAGGAAATTAATTAATGATTAATTCATCTAAATTAATTACATAAACTATAAATTGAAATCATAGGAGTTTAATTAAATTAGAAATTGAAATTGGAGAAAATTAATGAAACTCGAAATCAAAATTGAAAGAAATGAATTAAACTAGAATTTTAAATAACACCAATTAATTAATAATTAAATAATTAAACTAGAAATTGTAATTTGAGGAAATTTGTTAACAATTAATTAATTAAACTAGAGACTGAAATAAAGGGAAATTAGTTAAAAATTAATTAATTAAACTGAAAATTGAAATTAGAAGAAATTAATTATAATAATTAATTAATTGAACTAGAAATTGAATTTGGAGGAAATTAGTTAACAATTAATAAATTAAACAAGAAATTGGAATTTGAGGATATTAATGAAACTCGAAATTAAAATTGGAATAATTTAATTCAACTAGAAATTAAAATTTGAGCAAATTGATTAATAATTACTTAAACTGTAGAAATTGGAATTGGGGGAAATTAATTAATTAAACTAGAGACTGAAATAAAGGAAAATTAGTTAAAAATTAATTAATTAAACTGAAAATTGAAATTAGAAGAAATTAATTATAATAATTAATTTATTAAGCTGGAAATTGAATTTGGAGGAAATTAGTTAATTAAACTAGAAATTGGAATTGGAGGAAATTCGTAAATTAAACTAAAAGTTGAATAATTAGAGGAAATTATTTAACAATTAATTAATTAATTTTTTATCGAATATTATACTGAAAATATAAAAATACCTGGTGCGTATTTACAGACAATCCAAGCTAAAACAGCTGTAGCAGCGTGATGATAAACGTGAAGAAAAGAACATTGATTGTATTTCTTCCGTAGAATAAAAATAATCGTATCCCCCAATTCGGCAATCTTTAATAACAATACTCGCCAAACCCACTTAGTCATCTAGAAGAAAATATTTGGTCACTTTATCTCCCCTTAATGTTGAATATATAACGATAGTAATAGTAATAATAATATTAGTAATAATAATAATTATAATAATAATGAAAAAAATTAATTAAAGTAAAAACCACTAAACGAATTAAAAATGCGTTTATATAAGAAATATTTGAAGAGGTTTTCTTATGCATATAGAAGGTACCATTTATTTTATTTTTTTTTTTAATCATAATTTTCTATTTAAAATAGTAAACCGCGTTTTCAACAGCGCATTAATATAATAAAAACTCACGTTAAGTGGTTCTGGACTATTGGAAAAATCCACTGGCTCGCAACCCCATGACAAGGACGTTGTAAATCCGGAAGTGAGTAACTAAAAATCGTAAAAGTTTTTTGTAAGGATACGTGATAAATGCGCTTCTGAAAAATAATTATTCCACAACTTGTGTTTTGTCTAAAAAACAACAAAAAAAATTTATGAAAAAAATGGGTCTCATTAAAGTAAACGGAAAAGATTAAAAAAAAAAATTGTTTTTATTCAATAAATAAACGAAATTTCATATAATTTTATTAAATTTGATTCACAAAAATTTGAATTGTTTCAAATAAATTTTATTTGGTTTAAGGGCATTTGAACCATGATGACGTCACACTTTAGAACACATACTTTGCAAAACTGTCACGTCATAATGGTTCAAATGCCCTTAAATAACCGAATAAATTATTTTTGAATTAATAATTTATATAATTAAATCAAATACCATTTAATTAATTAAAATAAAAATTATTTTATATAAATAAATATTTATTTGATGAAAGGCGCAAGTAATCGTTTATTTGAATCAACTAAATTTTTGTTCGGTGTTTATATTGATCAGCGGGTAAAATTGATTTGTTTTTTATAAAAAAAAAAATTTTTTTTTTTAAAATTATTTCTTGTAAATTAGAAATTAAAATATAAAATTTATTCAAGTTCAAGTTTATTTATTTGATATCAATTGTCAGTAGCAATTGATTATTTAAATCAATAATGAATTTTTTTTATGTGTTTCGGTATACTGTTAATTTCAATTTCAATTTTTTATAATAATAATAATAATATAATACAATAATTGATGCAAAGAAAAATTTATAGCATCATGAAATGAATTCTATTCTATCTAGTTGCACCAAATAACTTTTATTTACACCCAAAGAAAAATTTTATTTAATCCAAATATATTTTATTTGTGTAAAATAATATTTGTCTCCGAACCAACTAAACTTTTTATTTATTTTACATAAAAATTTTATTTGACTCAAGTAAATATTTATTTGAAAACAGACGAGCAATCAGTTATTTGAATCAAATAAATTTTCTTTTCATTGTATAATAATGTTTATTATACAGTATCGTAATGTATATTATATTATATTATATTAAATTATATTATATTATATTGTATTATGCATTCTCATATTGTATTGTATTATTATTATTATTATAATTAGTAGAAGCATAAAGAAAGGGGGAAAATTGAAATTAAATTTTCTCAATTAATAAAATCGTACCCCGTAAAAAATAGCAGCACTTGCTATGGCAACAATGACATTATAACCAATCATAATGTTGTGAAGTTTATATGGCTCTCGATTTGCCATTAATCGAGGTCCTAGGTCCAAAACAAAGAGAAGATACCCTCCGACAATCAGTGCTATGGGAAGTGGACCAGACATGAGGGGCCAGTCAGCCACTCTCGGATCTGTAATTACAATATAAGAAATCGCTTTAGATCAGAAAGAATTTTCTTCATTTTCCTTTTTCCAATTAAAGACATTTTTCTTCTGTCAATGGAAATTCTATTCAATAATTCATCAATGAGAATAGTAGTTCATTAATTTGATGATCTGTTTTTAATCCATCGAATAAGAAGCAGATGATATTTTTGGTTCTTTTTTTATATTCACCGAAAAAAAAGTTGATTTAATTAACCGATTAGTTTACTGTTATCAAATAAATATTTACTTGAATTTAATATTTAGTTGAATCAAATATTTACTTGAATGAAATATTTTCTTGAATCAAATATTTACTTGAATCAAATATTTACTTGAATCAAATATTTACTTGAATCAAATATTTACTTGAAAGAAATATTTACTTGAATCAAATATTTACTTGAATATTTTCTTAAATCAAATATTTACTTGAATGAATTATTTTCTTGAATCAAATATTTACTTGAATCAAATAAATGTTTACTCAAATCAAATAATTTTTATTTAAATCAAATAAATTGTATATTTGAATCAATAATTTCGGTATTTAGAGCAAATACAATTTAGTTATTTATTTGACTCAAGTAAATATTTAATTATTATTTATTTTTATTTTCAATAAAATATTTTTGAAGGAAATAAGAAGAAATATTATAGAATATTAGAAGGATCAACGTTCAAAGCAAAAAGGCATTTTTTCGTATTATTTTATTCTCTTTGTTAACTTTTTTTCGTCATATTATTCATTACTTATAAGATTAATAATAGAAATAACGAGTTTCGTTACTTTGTGTGTATAAGTGTAAAGTTGACACGTTTTACTTTCAAGTATCACTCGTTATCGCGCGTTTGCTTATTTGCATGCAAATAATTATTACGCTAATGCAAAATTAAGTATGAAAAAAATTAAAATTTATTTCTTAATTTATCCTAAAGTGCTTAGTAGTAAAAAAAAATTATTCAGAAGAAAGGCAGTAATTAGCAACAATATACTGAAAAATAAAACTCAACTATATACAAGAGTTTATTGTCGAGTAGATGAGGGGACAATTGATAAGGGAAATTGAATTAATCAAAAAATTTAAGTGAAGCAAATGGAAATAATTCGCCTCGTAATTATTTTTCTTGCGTGTGTATACAAATATAGAAGAAAAGAAAATAAATTTCGAAATTTGAAAATTACATACCTGAAATTTCATCGACAAGGAAATGATACGTTTCGACGGGACCCATTTTTTTTTTGTATTTTTTTTTCTTTTTTATTCAAAAAATAGTAAAATAGAAAAAATTCGTCGTCTAGTTGACGTAGAAATGATAAAGTCTGTCGATGATGTTGAAAAGACAAAACACACGTCGTGGAGAATTCGACCCGACCCCTCACGTCGTTGTCGAGTGCCGATCGGGGAATGACAAAGTGACAAGTTAACGAAAGCGGGAGCAGGTTGCAAACTCATACGTCATATAGGACCCGATACGGGTGAAGATAAAGTGCAGCGCACAACGATCTTCCTATAGTTTTAGCATTCAGTCGTGTCCACGAGTTCGATTTTTCAATATTTCTGTATTCCTCAAAGTGCCTCATTTCATTGCCTATAAATACTCTTCTTTTTTTTCTACTTTGAAATTTTAACACTTCCTTTTGTTATTAGTATCTTTTTTTCTTTTTTTTTTTTGTAGAAATCCAAAATTTAAAGTTGATTTCTTTTTTTCAACTGCTTCATTGATCCTCTGGAAAAGAAAAAAATTTCTATTGAAAATTTCAGAAAATTTGAACTTTGAATGAATTTAATTAGAAATTTTCTTGAACTTAGTTTTTTTGAAAAATTTGAATTCAAATTCTTTTGAAATTTTAGTTGAATCCTTTTTTAACCCTTGTGTTCATACCCGGGTACCCACGACTACACATTTTTTCATTTTACTCACGTAAATATTAAAATTTCGTCTCGGCGCTTCAGATCTACGTTATTTATGATAAATAAAAGCAATTTCTTCAAAAAAAATTTTTTTGTTTGCTATAAATAAATAAAAAATTAGTTTGAACTATAGGTATGCAGTGTCAGCACTCTGGGTGGCTGAGACAAATTGTTTAAAAATTCATTAGATTCACTTGAAATTTGTTACTCGAGGGTTTTGGGGGTCGCTGATTACGAATATGATGTCAGATTTTGAAAATTCAAAATGGCGGATCCAATATGGCGGACGACATTTTTAAAATGTCATTAGATTAACTTGAAATTTGTTACTCGGGGGTTTTTGGGGTCACTGATTACGAATATGATGTCAGTTTTTAAAAATTCAAAATGTCATATCAATAAACACCATATTGGATCCGCTATTTTTAATTTTCAAAAACTGACATCATATTCGTAATCAGCGACCCCAAAAACCCCAGAGTAACAGATTTCAAGTGAATCTAATGACATTTTAAAAATGTCGTCCGCCATATTGGATCCGCCATTTTGAATTTTCAAAATCTGACATCATATTCGTAACCAGCGACCCCCAAAACCCCCGAGTAACAAATTTCAAGTGAATCTAATGAATTTTTAAACAATTTGTCTCAGCCACCCAGAGTGCTGACACTGCATACCTATAGTTTAAACTAATTTTTTATTAATAATAATATTTTCATAAATGTCAAAAAAATTCTTGTCCTAATTTCAATTATTTTCAAAAAATTTTCTAATTTCAATAATTTTCAATATCTATGATTTTTATAAAATTTCCCAAAACGAATTCAATTGTTTAAACAAAATTTTAATAAAATTGTATGTAAACATTTAATTATTTTCGTAAATAATAAAAATTTCACAGGAATTTAATTATTTTTATAAACAGTAACATTTCTTAAGGAATTCAATTATTTTCATAAAAAATAATTTAAAATTCTAGAAAATAATAATTGAATTAAAATGATGAAAATAATTTTGATGAAGTTACAGTAACAATATTCTTATAATATAAATCCGAGTGTATTTTTATGATAATTAAATATATATTTAAAAATTCAACTAAAATTTCAAATGAATTTAATTTGAAATTTTGTTAAACTTAGTTTTTTTGAAAAATTTGAATTCAAATTCTTTTGAAATTTTTTTTGAATCATTTAATATATATTTAATTATCATAAAAATAATTAATTTAAAAAATATTTTCTGAAAACTATTGAAAAGAATTGATTTAGAGATAAATTTTAGTCAAAAACTCTAAAAAAAATAATTGAATTTTGTAGAAGTTGTAATTAATGGAAATTCTTCGAAACAATTTAATTTTGAAAAGGTTTCAATTAAAATCTTTGAAAATCTGTATTTTTAAATATACATTTAATTAACATAAATCTGTAAAACTAATTTTTTTGAATAATTCTAAAGCAATTTTTTTTAAATTATTTGAATTTTTTATTTTTAAATTACATATTTAATTTAAAGAATTTCCGAACAATTGAAATTTATAGTAAAATTGAATTGTAAACAAATTTATTTCAAATTTATTTATTTAGATAAAATATTATTCTTTGAATAATTTTATTCTCAAAGAATTTTGGCAAAAATAATTAAAAATAATTAAAAATAATTATTTAGAGAAGAATTTTAGTTAAAGATTTCAGAAAATTGAATTGAAATCATGAAAATAATTTTGAAAAAGCCACAGTAGCAATTTTGGTAAATTGTCAAATTTCAAAAGGTTTAAAATTAAAAATTTTTGAAAATCTTAATTCATATGGAAAAATAATAAGAATTAAATATTTTTTTGATAAAGAAGTTTCGGTTTTCGAATAATTTTACAATTTAAAGAAAATCGGGAAAACTTCGAGAATAAAAGTATTATAATATTTTTTTGAATATCTAATCATTTTTTGAGTGATTCCGAATATTTTTTAGTCAGAAAAAAATTCAAAATTCTGTCTGGAAATAAGGGGAAAACAAAATTATTTTTTTTTTTTGCAACCCTGTTGAATAAATATAAAAATTTTAATTTAAAACAAATTTTTTAAAAGAATTTAAAAATGAAAAAAAAACCTTTTATATAAATTTAAAAAAATTTGAAAAGAATTTCTGAAAGAATTTAATAATGAAAATTATATAGAAAAATTTTTTAAAGAATTTTTTAAAGAATTTAAAAAAAAATTTTTTAAATAATTTAAAAATTAAATTTTAAATTGCTTGATGTTTTTGCGAGAGTGGAATATTTATTTTTTTAGAATAAAGTGACTTGCAACTATGTATATTATTTATAAATGCTGAAGGTCAAGAAAATTGAGTTTTCTCATATTTTCTATTTGTCGATTTCTCATTCTCGAAAAAAGTAATTTCAATAGCTTTGTGTTTATTACAATACAAGTTTAACCTCTCTTAACTCTCAATATATACACACATAGTTTTAACTTTATTTGCAAATTAGCATAATGAAACATATTTTATTACCTAATAGCATTTCACAAAAAAACATTAGGTATGCATTATGCAAATTATATGTTTCTTTTATTTATAATTTTTATTTTCCCTGTGTGAGAGAAAATTTTGCCAAGTGCAACGAATATGGTTGTCGGTTCAATTATTTTGACTTGTCTGAACTTTTCCATTAAAGTTTTGAAAAATATTTATATTCAATATGTAACATTATATTTCTTTATAAATATTTATAAATATTTAAAAATATTAAAAATATTTATAAATATTTATAAATAATTGATAAATATAAATTTAAATTTGAAAATAAATAAAGAAAGAAAATATACGCTGAAAAAAATTATACGATTTAAATTACCGATTTGTCTATTATCAAGTAAATATTTAATTGAATCAAGTAATTTTTATTTAATTCGAATAAATATTTAATTGAATCAAATAATTTTTATTTGATTCAAATAAATTATATATTTGAATCAATAAATTCAGTATATGAAACAAATACCATTTAATTGACTCAAATAAAAATTATTTGCTACAAATAAATATTTATTTGATAATAGACAATCGACGATTAAATTATAAATAATTAAATAGACGATTAAAATAATCGTTTATTTGAATCAAATAAATTTTTTTTCAGTGTACATTTAACTACAAATAAATAAATAAATAAATATTGTTACTAATTAAAATTTGAAGAGAATATTTAATTTATTTGATTTATATTTCTTTATTTGTTTATTTATATTTTTTTAGATATGCTTAAATAAATTTGTTTATTTCTATATATTAAATTTTATATATTTAATTAATATATATTTAAATATACATTATGCATACAATACATACACAATATACGTATGCATGAGGTTCGTCTATGAGTGTGTGTGTGTGTGTAAGAAACCAAAACTATACGTGTGATGAAGTAATCAAAGTTGCAACGTTACCGAGGTAATCGGTGTACGGAACTCTCAAATCACAGTATAGTTTGAAACGTGCAAATACAGTGAAATTATAGACTTCATTAAAGAGAAAAAAGAAGGAATGAATTTTTTTCCTCATAATAATTTTTCACTTTTTTTTCTTCTTCTTATTTCTGTTAAATTAAAACTTTTGTTCTACTTATCAAATCCTTTCTCACTTCGTTAAATTTCACTTAGAATTATTTGTAAACGTGTTTCACATTATTAAATTTCTTAAATGAAGTTTATCGTAAGATTAATTTTATTGAAGATAGTAGAGATTTTCAATAATTTGCGAAAATTTTAATTAATAAACGAACTCGACCATTTAATTAGTAAACTGTTAAACAACTCCAATAATAATTCATATAATAATATTGTTTAGTTGGATATTTTTATTAGTTTAAAACTATTATAATGTTTTATGAATAAACACGTCGGTTAATATTTATTACTTATTTTTTGTTTGTATGTTTATTGTTACAGTTTTAATATTTTTATTTTCATTATTTTGTGAAATGAAATTAAAATTTTTTCGTGAAAGGCAAATATTGTCGAAACTTTATTTATTTTTCTAAAATTAGTCAACAAATCCTGTCTTTCGGAATTAAATTTTTGATGAGTAGAGCGAGTGTTTTTGTCAGTGTAATTTTTAACCACAGGAAACTATCAATTAAGAGTGAATTATCAAAGAAAATATTTTATTTATATGTATAGCTTTAAAAATATATTTGGGAAATTGCGAGACTTTTTATTTAAAAGAAAAGGAAAACAAAAAAAAACTGACAGAATTACCAACAAAAGGTTTAAAATAAATTTTCGAAATCAAACTTTGTTAAAAAAAAGTTTTCAGGTTTATTAAATGTTGGGAAATTTTCAAATTTATTTGAAAAAGATTTATTTTTTGCATAACTATTTTCGTTCACAATTTTTACTGTTTGCAAAGAAAATTTTAATTTTAATTTTACTTTTAAATTTTACTGTTGTATTAGTAAACTTTTTTCGGAAATATAGCAAAATTTACTATGGATACTATAGTGGAAATTAGAAGCAAGTTTTGAGTTCAATCAAGAAGTATATTTTTTATACTTTCTTTTACTATTTAATATTTTTCTGTTTTTTTTTAAATATTTTTTGTCTGCATTTTTTATAGATTAAGAGCCAACTAGATTTTTTTTGTCTCAAACAAATTTTATTTGATTTAAGTAAATTTTATTTGTTTTAAATAAATTTCATTTGGTTTAAATAAATTTTATTTGGTTTAAGTAAATTTTATTTGTTTCAAATAAATTTTATTTGGTTTAAATAAAATTTTCCTCTGGGTGTCTGTACACACAGAA